TTATTAATATCTACTGCTTTATGAGGTAGAGTTTAAATACTTAGTATAACAAATTGTTTGTTGTTTTATTATAGAAAGAAAAGTTCATGTACTATTAATAAGCAAACAAAGTTAGTGTAGATCTATTCTACTCTGTTAAGTTATTAATAATTATGATAATAGAGCTGACGATGATATTTCAATGCAAGTATGTGAACCGTATGGAATCCACAAGACTAAACTAAGTGAAGAGAATGAAGGAGTCTATGATGAATGTCAAACATCACCTGAAGATGTTTATGAACGTATGCCGCAATGAAAGGTATTAGAGCAACTTAATATAGAGTAACTGTTGAAACTTTTTCACTAGTTTTAGTGTAGCAATTGTTTTTACATAGTTTGTGTGAAAAAGAGAATACAACTTTATGAGTGCATGCATTTAAGCTAATTTTGATCACATTTGGATTTAAAAAAAAATTTACAGTTGCTACCAATAATTACACTATATACATACATGCACATCAACCTGTCTATTCCTGACACCTTGGGACCCAATAACACTGTCCTGATTATGAAAGTGTTCTTGTTTCAGAGGTTCATTGATACACATTAATATTGTAGTGGACTTTGCTGAGTCCGTAAGTATAATCAAACTGAAATGATTTTGTTTCAGAGTCTTCAAGAGGATTTCTTAATGTAATGACTTGCCCACTGTTCCTGATTATGACTGGTATCTACTTGTCTATCTCTTCCTGTTTGTATATACAAGTATAGTCTAATAAGGAATAATAATAACATTATACATATAATATAAACAATAATAGAAGGATGAGGATATTAATGGTCTAACTTTAATAACAATTAACTCTAGCAGTTATTTTCACTTCTTCTTCTTCAAGTTGACAATCTGATGATAATTCTGATTGTAATCGGGAAACTAGTGGGGGTCGATCCTGACTAATTCTGATGTGAACTAAAAACATAATGCATGTATTCACTGAGATTCAGTACTTATAAATGTGGCAGTGCATGGGTTAAGTGAAATGCATTTGTCACAATAAACATGTTATTGTTTTGAATCCAGTTCATTGTAAGGGAAAGTAAACAAATTTTAATGAGTGACATGTATACATCTAATGCACTTCGCTTATGGCCATGTAGATTTATTTTGTCAAAAAATAACAGAACTGTAACAGAGCTATACTGTACTCAACCCAATTAATGTACCCTCCTTATTTTGCACCTTTCACAATATGAACTTTCTATTGAGTGCACCTCCTGGCCAAGATTATTTTTAAAGGTGCATTGTAATTAAAAATTCGACCATTGTTTACAGGTGTATTGCGTACTTAACTAAGCACCTCTCTAAACCATAGATAATAATAATAATAATCTTTATCTAAACAAGCACCTCCTATCCTGGAGAATTTCATAATTGTTCCTATCTAAACAATGCACCACCTGAGACATGTAATTATTTTATCAAGAGGTGTGTTAATTGGGGCGAAGAGTATGGTGAAATGGCATTGTCAGTATCAGGAGTGATTTTAGTCTTCTTGTTGAGTGTCAGTGAAGTTATTGGTCAATGTCCACCTTCCTCAGGTAAGACACTGGATGTGTATAATAGCAAATTTATAGGTTTTTATAGGTATCAACCTGATGCATGATGGAAACTGTTATACTAATGGATCATATTTTTATGATGCTGATATTAGAGGAGCCAGTAACAGTATCATGTGTGTGTTATCTGATACTGATCTGAATGGTGGAGAGTGGGCTACTCCTAGTGGATCAACAGTTGACTGCAGTACTGATCCTCTTCGTTGTAATGAGGTATCTTCACCTAATGCTAACATCAGCCTTTACATTAATGGAGGCATCACGCCATCTAATGATGGCTGGTATAAGTGTTGTCTACCTACTAATTGTTCAGATCCTAACACCAACATCATCTTTGCTAATATATTCAGTAAGTGTTCTCATTAAATTAGTACATGCTGTCAATTTGTTACTGATTTATTGTATTGTAGGATGGGTACAGATTGAAACCATCACAGTTGACCTTCCCTCAGATACAACAGTTCTACCTCAAACATATACACTACATGCCATTAAAATTGGTAATAATGATCACATTCCTTTTTTACATCATGCCAATTGGTACTATGAGTCTGGTAGCAGTAGTACTGAACTCTGCACTGGATCTAGGGCCTCATACAGTTGTAACTCCATGTATGGGCATGGATTGTCAGTAGATTATAGTAATGGAAGGTGGGATTACACACTAACTGTTACATGGAGTGGAGAGACTATTAGCAGTGGAGTACTAAGCCAATTAAACAACAACGGGGATCATGTATTTAGATTCTATTTAGATTTTGGTCATACCAGTCACAGCCCAGTAAAAAGAAATAGAGACATTTTTGTAACAGGTAAGTAGCAATAAATGATCATTTTTAATGCTTTTTTAGCTCCAGCAACTGCTCCCTCTTCTCTTACTGAGATTAGCAAGACAGCTACCACTATCACTGTCAGTTGGACTGCACTTGATTCATCTGATGCTGATGGATATGTAGTCAATGTCACTAGTGACACAGACACTGTGCAGACAGTACAGGTGGTGGGAAGTAGTAATAATGCAATCACACTGAATGGACTGAGAGAACTAACAACTTATAACATCACAGTCAGAGCCTATCAACAATTATTGGGACCTGCTAATACAATCAGTGTCTTCACTTTTTGTCAACAAGAAGGTTTTCAATTTGAATGAATAGATATCTATAGTGTAAGTATTAATTTTTCTAGGTATATATTTAGCACATAATGGAATCTGTTATACTAATGGATCATATTTCTGGGATAGTAGTGTCAATGCAGTTACTGAAGCTATATCATGTGTGTTACCTGGTACTAATCTAACTACTGGTCAGTGGGTTAGAGTTGCTAATCCTGATGATCCTGTTGACTGTAACAGTAATAGTGACAGTGATCCTTTTCATTGTACTAATGTCACTTCACCTGATGCTACTCTCAATCTTTATCTTGTTCAGTCACTATTAGCAGCTCAAGAAGGCTGGTACAAGTGTTGTCTACCCACTGATTGTTCAGATCCTAATACTAACATCATCTTTGCTAATATATTCAGTAAGAGGAGACTATAATCACTTACTGATGTAACAATTTTTGTTTGTAGGATATTCAGAGATAGAATCATTTACTGTTGCTGATCTTCCTTCTGATATGACAGTATATCCTCAGGAATACAAACTGAACTGTACTAAAATTGGATACTATCGATACGATGGTATTAGTATGAGCATTGGTAGTACTGCATTGGCTAGTTATGCTAATTGTGATGATCGAAATACTAACTGTCCTGGTACTGTGTTAGTTAGTAGTACTTACACAATAAGATATACTGTTGATATCACATGGGATGGAATGAATGTTAGTAGTGGATCAATCAGTCAATCAACCACTGGAGATCAAATGTATCAGTGTGTACTGGATAATCCTAATGGTGCTGATAGAACGCGTACTTTGACCATAAAAGGTATGTCTCCAATCCTGCCAATAATGATTATGCATGTATTTAGTTCCAGTAACTGCTCCCTCTTCTCTTATTGTGGTCAGCAAGACAGCAAACAATATCACTGTCAGTTGGACTGCACTTGATTCATCTGATGCTGATGGATATGTAGTCAATGTCACTAGTGACACAGACACTGTCCAGACACTACAGGTGGAGGGAAGTAGTAATAATACAGTCCTTTTGAATGAACTGAATATAGAAACAATGTACAGCATCACAGTTAGAGCCTATCAACAATTACTGGGACCTGCTAGTACAATCAGTGTACAGACCTTACCAAGTATTGCTACTGCAGCTTTTATGCACTATTAACATTGTTGATGTATTTCTAGTTATTAATTCAATCAATTGGACACTAGTCTCATCCATTACACAACTCAATAACACTCAATATCGTATTGATTGTCTCACAACTACTGATATAAATCCTTCAACTGATGTTTACTGGTTAGTGAATGGAGTGATGAAGAGTAACTCAAACTATTCATTAATTGATGTCCTGACATACAACAACACACTACTGGTATATCCTGATCCGGGAGTGTCAGTTAATGTTACCTGTATAGCAATGATTGGAGGAGTCAACTACAGTCAATCTGTGATATTACATGGTATGATTATTCTTTCATCAATAGTAGATACCTTTGTCTCTTTTCTAGCTCCTAGTGGTCCTCCAAATAATGTGAGAGGGTTTATATTAAATGCTAATAGTATCAAAGTGAACTGGACCAATTCATCAGAGACTAATGGATATGTGATTGAGTACACTACTGGAGGTGTAACCAGGAATGTAGTATCTACCAGTGAAGATGAAATTGTACTAACAAATCTCTCACCAATGAGTACCTATACCATCAGTGTGTACTCATATATAGATCTTCCTTCAGTTAATAGTACAGTAACAGTGTTAAGATTTGATGGTGAGTTATCATTTAGAGCCGGAGTGTAATTGATATCTGTTGTAGTTCCTAGTCCAGTAACTAGTCTCTCAGTATCTAATGTCTCAACCACTGGTATTACAGTGAACTGGACTATTCCCAGTAGTGACAACTATGTAACATACTACACCATCTCCTATACTCCATCTTGTCTCCAGTTATCATCAGTGACTGAGACAGTCTCTGTTGCTCCTCATCAGTCCACTACAACATACAGTTATACATTAATAG